TAATACATTCTGTTTTTATCTTGAAATCTGACTTTCTTGCCTTTTGGAAGTTCTGTATCTACACTATTCCCTCATCTTGCTTTTTATAGTTGACTTCCTTATAAATTGTTATTTCTGGTTCCTTATTTTCAGCCTTGTAGGTTTCTCTTACTATACATAATTTTATATGTGGGTTAATGTGCTGGACTGCAAAATTGTTTGAACCGCAACGTTGGCGGTTCAGGCTCACCAGCCATTTCTTGAAACTGTATGCTGGGTCACTATGGGTTGGAACCGACTTGACAGCACTTAACAACATATCTGGGTTTCGAGTCCTAGTGTGGTACCGTAGGATAAGCCCTTGACCTCAAGGTTGGTTTGAACTGCAAGTTTGGCAGTTCAAACTTACCAGTTGTTCCTCGGAAACCCTATACAGGATTGCTATGGCTTGGAACTGACTCGATGGCACGTAACAGCAATAACAACAACATATTTTGATTGAGTTTTGAATGGTGGTAGTGATGTATGGTATTCTCAGGTTGTTGTCTACTGTTGATGGTTCTCACTCAAAAGAATACCCTTTAGCATTTTTAAAAAATTGGTCTGGTCATTTCAAATTCCTTTCATTTCTATTTTATCTGGAAACATCTTAATTTCGCTGTTGTAGTTGAGGGACAGTTTTGTGGGTATGTAATTCTTGGTTGGCAATTTTTTTCTTTCAAAGTTTTGTATATGGTATCCCGTTACCTTTTTGTATGCATGGTTTCTGCTGAGAAATCAGATTAGTCATATTGGTTCTTCTTTGTAAGTAACTTTTTGTATTTCCTGATTTGCTATCAGGATTCTTGTGTTTGATTTTGGAAACTTTGATTACGATACATCTTGGTGATTTCTTTTTGGATCTTTCCTGTTTAGGATTTGTTCAGCTTCTTGTTTGTTTATCTTCTTGTCTTTCATGATGTTAGGGAAGTTTTCCTCCAACAATTTTTGACAGTTTTTTCTGTGTTTTGTTTTTTTGAAGCTTTTATTGTGAATTAAGTAATAGTTTACATGGGATAACATCGGTTTTGCACTCATTCTGTTGTATTTTATTTCACTGCAATGATTACAATCTCCTCCATGCATCATCACTTAATAGTATTTGCTTCTGTTGCCTATGTTTTATTTGTTTTTGTTTTATGTACACAGAAACACTCAGGAATATATAATCATTTAAACAACCAAACAACATTCTGCAAGCCTGCCACCAGCACGCAGCCTTTCTCTTTCCATGAGTCTAGAGTCATCCTCAGCTGCTTTATCTCTCCATGTCCTCATCTCTGCCTCTATCTCTGGTGATGCCACTTTTTTTGTTAGTTCTCTGTGCTTTTCTCTGTGCTTTTTATTGTCTCTTCCTTTTCGAAAATTCCAGTCACCCTTAAGTTGTTCTTCTTCATAGTGTTCAACATAGTCTTATTTCGATTTTTTCATTCTTTTTCTGATTTTTCTTCCAGCATACTAGTATTGAGATTCTCTTCCAGCTTACTCATTTAAGCTTCCATTGTTTTGAATCTACTCCTTTGCCTTTTCAATGTTTTATCCATTTCTGAAACCTTAGTATCAATTTTCTGGATTTCAAATTGCAGGTTTTGTTTTGTTTCAAAATTTGCATTTATTTTGTCTGCTTGTTCTTTTATTAGTTTTTTTCCCCTGAATTCTTCTAAAATTTTTTCTGTGTTCTCCTTGCTTTCTTTGATCTTCCTGTCAGTCCTTTGAAGGTACCTAAACATCATTCTTGTGAAGTCTTTTCCAGTAAGTTCCATTACCTTTTCTTCTTGAGAAATGTTTACTGACTCTCTAAATGTTGGTCATTTGTTTGAGACATTCTCTCTTGTTTCTTCTTGTGAATCTTGTCTCCAGGACATTGTGAGGTTTTTGTATTTGTGTGTTGATAATTGTGTGTTGATGTGTTCTTAGGCTCTTACCAGCTGTTTCCTGAGGATGCAGTTAGAGAATAGAAGTGTGTTCACTCTTCTTGTTTGCCGCACGATTACCTCAGTGTAGGGTGCGTTTGGCTGGTCTTGGCTACTGTCTATTGTTGATTAGGTGGTATTGGAGCTGGTATGGCTCTTGCCTAGTCGGTGGAGCTCCAGAGGGTTGTATGGACAAGGTTGCTGTCTCCTGTCAGGTGTGAAAGAGGAAAACCCTCCCATACACACAAGAAAACAAAATAGAATAAGCAAACAAGGAGCTAACAATGAAAAGAGAAAATAATAAAGGGAAAAAAGAAATTAAAACAGGCAGTAACCAGGATAAAAGAATATAATAACTACAAAGACTAAACTTAAACAGGGAAATGGAGCTATAAAAGAGAAAAAAGGTAGAAAAAAAATTTAGAAAAAGAAAGAAGAGGGAAGATGAAAAGAGAATGAATAGAGAGTAGTAAAGAAAGATCAAAAGGGAAACAAAGAGGAGAAATTAGAAACAGAAGAAAAGACGGGAAAATAGAAGCAGAGATAGAAAGGACAACATACAAGGGACTGGAAAGAGAAGGAGGAGAAAGAATAAACAAAGCAGTGAAACAATAAAAGGAAAAACAGAAAAACAGTGCAGTTGTTGGACTCGGGATAGAGAAAACTCTGGAGGAATCCTGTAAACCACAGCGCTCACGAGGTGGGTGTGGAAGATTTGTGACAGCAGAGTTCCAGACCCTAAAGGGAGTTCCTGTCGGCTTCTGTATTACCTATGCTAAGTTCAGAAATCTAGAAGTATTTCGTGGAGGCCCTTCATCGAACTGGTTTCAGTGTCTGTTAGGACCACAGGGCAAGCTGGGGGCAGGGTAACTGGCGGCTCTGCAGGGTCTGGAGTTAAACCCACTTGAATCTAGGCACCAAAGCAGCACAGCCGGTCTTGCAACTGGCATGGCTCCCAACCACGTGCCTCCCAACTCCTGGAGAGCAAAATCCGCACTAGGGATGAATGAGGTTGGGAGCCAGCCACACTTATAGTCACCAGGGGAGCCTAGGGAAAAAGAAGTAATTGCACCTTTTCCATTGTCCACCTGAACCAGTTCTGCCAGGCACCATCTGTTGCCAAAGTTGCTTACAGGATGATCACATTACATCACCAGTCAGTTTCCCTCTCTCACTGTCCCTGCTCAGCTTTGCCTCCCAGCAAGCACTCAGTCCGCTTCTCTAAACTTTCCTCTGAAGTTCAGGGTTTCATGATTTTCATCTGTGTTGGTTTCATTTGCTCTCTTGTATCTTTGTTATACAGGGTCTGGGTGGTGCTTCTCCCTAGTCCGCCATCTTGCCGAAAGTCCTCACAAAGCATGTCTAATTAAACTTGTCTCTGAAGTCAATGGATGGCTGCAGACAAGATTTCTGTGTGATCCACTTGTACTTGTCTTAGTTTTGTTAGGGTTATCCTTTAAAGAAAAGGTTTTCAAAGACATTTTGCTTGTCTGGTTCAATTCAAGGCATAGAGTTCAGCTCAGAAGGTCATGAATGAGAATGTTCATGAAGGCTTATTATGAAAAACTTTTAACAAAATGAAAAACTGCATTGATGAGAAAAAAGAAAGTTGTGCCAAGGAATTTTTTCCATCATGACAGTGTACCTGCTCATTCTTTGAGGATAGGAGGGGCTGTTCTATGAGAATTTCATTGGGAATCCTTACCCCATCCACCCTACAGACCCAATCTTACCCCTTCAAACTTCTTTTTGTTTCCCATACTGAAGAAACATTGAAAAGGAACACAGTTTGAATCCCTTGAGGATTCCAAAACTACTTTTTTAATATGGCATTAAACCCTTCAGGGAAGGATCAGAGAAATGGGAAGACTGTTTTCAGAAATGTTTATATAGATCTAGATGGAGATTTTGTTGAAAAACAATAGCTTCACATTTTGATAACTTTGTTTAATAAAGGTTTTTATAATTTTGGAGCAATACTTTTTTTACTTACCCTTGTGTATACATTTAAAAAAATTATATTTAGAACTCAATTCTACTCTAACACATGGGTTTATCATGAGTTGAGGGTGAATCAAGGGCATCTCAAAACAACAACAACAAAATGGAGAATCTTGCCTGATGATTTAGACCTTCAACGATCACACTTTCTCTGAACCTGTATATGGTACTTTTGTATCATTTCTATATTTCTTCACTGTTTCATTTCTTCTTTAAATTGTGGGGACAGGGACTGGGTTGATAGATTTTTTTGTCTCTACAGTATTTGGTGCAGAGCTGGTAGTACCTTAGGTCTGAATTTAATGCTTGTTGCTGGTCATTCTTGGGCTGTGATTTGGACCTTTGTTACTGTCTTCAACCCTAGCCGCAACATTTTGATCTTTTTTATAGATTGATTTTCTCAATAAGATTTCATTGGGAAAAAAAAATGGTCCTGCAGACTAAAGAGAGTTCTTGGTGTAGGGTATCTTGGGAACCTTTGGAGCCTCCATTTTGGTTGAAGATGACTTTTTTACTAGAGTAGCAACAACAAGAGCTCTTTTCTGAGATAATCTACACACTCATTCTTTCTGGGGCTCTGTTAGGATATTCCACTGGACTTGTAGGTCTTTTCTAGTGGACATTAATTTCAGAGAATCTTGTGAGCACCATGAAATCACATGCAGAATCCTTGTGAAAGTGTGTTTGAACATATTAAAAAAGATCACAAAGGCCATTCTGCTTCAGTGTGGGCAGCAGGAGTGGCTGTGGCCGCTCCTTCATTTTGCAGAAACCTATGTGCTTTGTTATGTGCCCAGGTTCATTTGATTCAGAGAAAATCTAGAGGGGAAGCCTGTGTTCCCATTTTCCGCTTTCCAGGTTCTGGGAGTGGGAGATTGAGATCTCAGAATGCTGAACTGTGCAGTGGGGAAGAAACTTCAGCGGAAAAGCCTGCCTCTAGCCCTGTCTGCTGACACTGATAGGGAGCTGTGTCAAAGTCACTACTTGCTCCATCCCTAAATTGCTTGTCCTTAAGCTGTTGCCTTCTGCCCTCAAGACTTGTCAGTGATATCATTCTGTCTGCTTCAGGCAGGAACAGTGTTCCAGTCAAATCCGACTATGCTTACATGTCCTTCGAGCCATCCAGAAACTGGCCCGTGAGTCATCCATCATGGCCCGAGAAACCTGGGAAGTCTTACTGTTGTTTCTTCTGCAGATTAATGACATACTTCTGGCTCCACCAACTATTCAAGGTTTGGTTTTTTTTCTAATTTATTTCTGAGTTCCAGATACTTTAAAATTCAATGAGTGAAGATTCATTGAGGATTTAAATTTGGCATGACAATTGACAAACCAAGGTTAACAGTTCTTAGATTGGGAATCTTCAAAGATGCAATTGATTTCAGCACTAATGAAGCGATATTACCTTCAATAATGATTTTGCTAACGTCATTGTTTTTAAATGTCATTGAGTTGCTTACACCTCATAGTGACCCTGTATAGGGTTTCCAAGGAGTGGCTAGCAAGTTTGAACTACCGACTTTGCAGTTAGCAGTCCATTGCTTATCCTACAAGTGCCACACCAGGACTCTAAGCAAAGGATATTGCTGTTAAGTGCCATCGAGTTGGTGTTGACCCATAGCGACCCTGTGTAGTATTTTCAAAGAGCAGCTGGTGAGCTTGAACCTCTAACCTTGTGGTTCAAACTGACTTTACAGTCCAGCACATTAACTAACCTACAGTGCCACACCAGATGATAGGCTCTTTCAAAAAATGATGGCCTCGTAAAAGGGGACAGGGGATGATACATCTTAACAATTAATTAATGAATAGCTGTTACCCTTGAAAACTGTAGTATGAGTGATTGATCTACCCATATCTTCTCCTAAGAATGAAAGAAGAGAGGGTTTCTCAGTAAAAGCAGCTAAGAGAAAGTGACTTTCTTCCTTTAGTTTTTGAAAATCAAGTGGAGAGAAACTGAAATGTGAGAACATGGAATTAGATAAGGAAATTGCCAATCTAGTCTGGCCATCAAGATTTCTTAGTTTTGGGAATGGGAATCTGGATGGAAAGAAAACTAATAGCATGATTTTCTATACCGATTACCTTCCAATTATTATTGTTCTTGTGGCAAGAACTTGAGAAGAAGTCAGGGTATGGTTTAGCAAGAGGCCACTCCCAGAGATGGCTATTGGACAGGGCTGGGCAGAGGACAGTCACAGATGGCAATAGAAAGGTGCAGGAGAACTAGCTAATGTTGTTGTGAAATGCCGTTGAGTAGGTTCCAACCCATAGTGACCCTATGTAGGGTTTCTGAGGAGCATCTGGTAAGCTTGAACTTCTGACTTTGCAGTTCAAACTAACTTTGCAGTCCAGCACATGAACCCACAGCACCAAACAGGAGCAGTTAAGTTAATGCACATTTGATAATTGCAGTAACAGTTGCTTATCTTGTATATTAGGAGAGCTTGTGTAACCACTATTGAAATTAGAGCCTGTAGATAATGTACCTGCTTACAAGGGAGTTATCAACATAGAGTCTGAAAACTTTACAGCAACAGCAGATGTTTCATTCAACAAAGGAAGAAGTCTCCAGTGTCTTAAAGTGCTTATTTAAAAGTATGACAGTATGCCAGTTATTAACTAGCCATAAATAACTTCAGTTTTATAAAACTTTTGAACTGCATTCTAGAAGTCCTTGTTTATATGTTTTAGCATGGTCCTGGTGTGGCACTGGACTGCTTACAACAAGGTTGGTAGTTCAAATTCACCAGCTACTCCTTGGAAATTGTATATAGGGTTGCTATGAGTCGGAGTCAGTTCGACGGGCACTTAACAACAGCATGCAGATGATAACTTCATATTCTGGTTCCAAGTTCTCTTGTTGCTTATTCTTCTGTGTCTCCTTTTCACTAACATATATGTGAATGTGCTTGCTCTTACAGACAGATTCCATGTCCAGGGAAACATCTAAAAGGTTTCCTGGCATTTTAGTGTTGGAAGGGACCCCATAATAGGAGTCCCCTGTGTGGTATTGCTAAGAGCTACCAGCTCTATACCTCATGTGTCCCATGCCAAGGATCTCTGCATCAGTTCATCCCCTTCTGGGACTTTTTGTTTTTACCCATTCGAAAACTTTGTTTTTACTCATTCGAAATATGCATGCTTACAACTACCTACTGGCCCGAATTTTGCCTTTTGGAGCAATGCTGTCTAGTAAAGACCACTACTATTGTTCTTCCTAGTTTTAAGCATTAGAACAGAACAGCCGCTCTATTTTCATTGCTCTTGCCTAGCACCTGTCCTTTTGCTCCCTTCTTTGCACCTCCTTTCATTGAAGAATGGTTTTCAAACAGCTGAAGCATTGTATAACAACGTTTGCAGGTTGAAAGACCTGCATGCCTTCATGAACTTGGGCAATGTACTTAAACCTCCTGAACTTTACTTTAATCATCATCAAAATGGGTATAATTTGATAATTTGTCATTGTTGTTGTTGGTTTAGTCATTGTTGTTTAGTTGATTCTGACTAAACAGGTAAGAATAAATAGGGTATAAGGTTTCTGAGGAGTGGCTGGTGGGTTTGAACCACCAGCTTTGTGGTTAACAGTTCAGTGCTAATCCTACAGTGCCACTCCAGGACTCCATATTCAGTAATATCATGGTATTACCATAATTGATAATGACATAATTGGTATTATCAATAATAGGTATTGATCTGTCCAGCATATTAATGTGAGGATTGTGTGAGGTCCCGTGTATGGAAGTCTCAGCATAGAAATTGACTATATAGTGGGCACTCAATTCTTCCTCTTTCCCTTACATGCCCTTCCACCCCTTGCTGGAAGATTACAATCTTCAATAAGAGCTGAGCAGGGCAACTTGAAAACTTTGAAAGCAATCATTTATTCTTACATCCACAATTTCCTTTATAAGCATGGTTTCTTGTTTTTACTATTAAATGGTTATTTGAAAGTCAAAACTTAAAGTTGCATGTATTTTAATGTTTTGACCAACTCTCCTAAGTGAATTAAGGTTCACCTTTTAAAATTAGTATACCAAAGATATGTTTTCTTTTTGTTGACAAGGTGGTATTGCTGAGAATCTAGCAGAGAAGTTGATTGGTGTTCTCTTTGAGGTTTGGTTGCTAGCTTGTACTCGGTGCTTCCCAACACCTCCTTACTGGAAAACAGCCAAGGAGATGGTGGCTAACTGGAGGCACCATCCAGCAGTGGTGGAGCAGTGGAGCAAGGTCATCTGTGCCCTCACCTCAAGGTCAGTTATCGTCCTTGGCTTGCCCTTCTTCTTCCATCTAATCTCAGGTAGCTTTCTCTGTGTTCTATGTTTTCTATGATTCAGGAAATAACATTGAACAAAGTTTGTGTCTGTTATAACGAGTACTTTAGATATCAAAGAGTTGGAACACTTTTTATAGCAGTTTGGCTAAGTGCCTATCGAATCTAAAACCTTTTTCAGAGTAAGCACATATCTTTAAGAAGCCGGTAAATTCTGCACCCTTCCACTTAAAAATCCCACTCTTAATTCTGATTGTTGAAACATATTTGTTCATTATTACAAACAAAACAAATTAACAACACACAAAGGTATAATGAAAAAACTTAAGCTCACCAGAAATCCTACAATATTATATTTACATAATAATTTTACAAAAATGGGACCATACTTTATAATCAAAGTAGGCAGTTATTTATTATAATAATTTTGGCCTTTTGTTTTGTTTTATTTTACTATTTACATGTGTTAACCATCAATATACCACCAATAAATTGTTAGGTTTTATTTTTTTCAGACTTGATTTTTTCATTTCAATCCTAAATATTTTAATGGGTAACTCTAAAAGGATTCTTTTAAAAACATAATCATAATACCATTACCAAACCAAAACAAAGTTACAATTCCTAAATATCAGATATCTTTGCTGCTGTTGTTGTGTGCCGTTGAGTCTATTCCAACCCATAGTGACCCTATATAGGGTTTCTAAAAGTGGCTGGTGGGTGTGAACTGCCAGCCTTGCAGTTAGCAGTCCAGTGCTGATCCGACAGCACTAAGCCAGGGCTCATCAGTTATCTAGCTATGCTCAAATTTTCCCATACGTTTTAAAATTTGTTGTATAGTTGGTTCCTTTAAAGTGGAATACTGACAAGTTTCATTGCATTTAATTAGCATGTTTCTTAAGTCTGGTTTAAACTATGGGTTCCTGCTCTCATTTTTATTCTTTGAGTTTTTCTTATTAAAGAATCAGAGTTGATTGTCCCATGGGGTGTCCACATTGTGGATTTTTCTGCTAATATCCCTCTGTGTTATATACACATTCCCTGTCTCTTGTAAATTGAGAGTGAGGTCTAGAGACGTGCTGTAATTCAGGTTTTTGTGGAGAGTGGGTGGAAACAAATACTTCACACATATTATTTTAGGTAGTATTGTATTATCAGGAGGTAGATTGATGTCTTTGGGAGTAAATAAAATATTTATATCTTTGACATTATGTAAACTAGAAAGTAAAGATTAATAGTATATTTGTTCTGGTATCTCATGGTGAACTTTAATATTGTAAATTAATTTTCAAATAGCATGTGCTTTTTATCTTGTTTATATGTAGTAGCAGTATGTATTTAAACTTGTGAGAGCTAGAACTCAGTGGGTTTGCCTTATTTTTCCAGGCCTGGCAAGTTGTCCGCCTTTCACAAGAGTGAAGTCACCACTTTTCTATCACTTTCTACTTAGTGGAAAATAGTTGAGTTCTCCTTTTCTGACAGTTTTGCACCTGACACAGGTTTTGGATTTTGCAAGGTTCTTTAGTAGAAAATTTGAAAAATGTAGGCAGGAAATAACCATTGTGTATCAGTACTAACATTAGCATTGCACTTCTTTTCACCTCTTGGTTCTCTTTACTAAAAGCACAATTTAAGATTATATAATATTATTAATTTACCTTTAATAATTTCATGTCCTACGCCCTTTTTTCCAATTCTTAAATTGCTTTGGGGATCATATTTTTAATGACTTTATAGTTTTTTCTTATATAAATGGTCTGTAATTCATTTAATAATTTCCAGTTTTTAAAATTTATATTGTTTCCAATGTTTTACTTTAAAAATATTGTTGATATAAGAATTATTTTTGCAATTTTTATAAAAAGTATTATTGTTATAACATGTAATTCCTAGATGTAAGATAATTGGGTCTAAGGGCTTTGAACAGCTTTAATATTTAAAATAATAAAGTAATTGAATAGTTGAATTAAAAGAAAAAAGTTGTTGAGAATACACAGTACAACATGCACTGATTTGACCATTTCTATGTTTACAGTTCAGTGACTATATTTTTCAAGTTGTTCATCCATTCCCACCCTCCTTGTCTGAGTTGTTCCTACCTCATTAACATAAACTCATTACCCCATAAGGTTCCTATGTGATCTTTCAAGTTGCTCTTGTTACTTTGATCCCACTGTTGTTGTTGTTAAGTGCTGTTGAGTTGGTTCCTACCCATAACGACTCTGTATAGGGTTTCCGACGAGTAGCTGGTGAGCTTGAACTGCCAACCTTGACTTTCAAGGCGACTTTATAGTCCAGTGCATTAACCCACAGTACCACACCAGGACTCTCATTATAGTGTTCTTAAAAGTACATAATGCTCAAGACCGACTTTTGTTTGACTGAACTTTAGTTAAGCTGAACTATTGTTTGGTTTTAAGAAAACATCAGAGGGATATTTTTGGTTTAAATTATAAAGATTGTATCAGGAAAATGGTTTCAGGGGTTCGCCCAGCCCTCTTGGCTCCAAAAAGTCTGAAATGCGTATGTACCTTAGATGACTACTTGCAATCTTGTAAGACCCCAGGTATTCTTAACTAGAAGCTCAAAGCACTAAACACATTATTAGCCCAGCTAACTAGGATTTCCCTTAAAACCATGCCCCTAAACCTCCAAATCAAGAACCAAATCCCATGATGTTTTTGGTTGTACATAAGCATTAGCAGGTACTCTTTTCTCTCTTTGGCTGTCATTTTAAAGCACT